GGTAGCACCGTATATGGAACTTGTTGTCAAATATCAGTACGATAACTATATTTGGGCACTTTCATAGCAGCCAGGTAGTTGTCTAATACATAAATTAGATAGTTAATTTTGTAAATTACAAAAACTCCAATAAATTAGTATAAGGTTATCAAAGGAAAAAAAAAAAATAATAATAATTAATTTTTTAAATAATATAATTATAAATTTCATAACTTAATACTTCTATAAAATATTCTTATAAATCGGTTAATTTTTTTTGAAAAACTTTAGAAATAAATTTTTAAAAATTTTTATAAGTAGAGCTTATAAAAATTTAAAAATTTTATAGAAGTATTAGGTTATGAAATTTATAATTATATTATTTAAAAAATTAATTATTACTAAAATTTTAATCTTTGAACGAGAAAGTAGAAGCTGAAAAAAGCAAAGCATTTACAAGATTTTTAAAAGTATAGTTAAGCAGTAAAGCCCAGTCTACCTCAATCAAAAAAAGGCCAAACTTTTAGTTCAATTGACTATTAGAACAATTAAAAACAAGAAGCTTACGCTAAGCCAATTGATTTACTTGAACAATATGTATTTGATCTCAAAGCTATGCTATATATTACAAGTATCTAATCTCTCTAAGAATACTTTAGATTTAATACATCAACCTATGATTAGAGTAATAAAGAACAAGATTGGCTATCTCGCACAACAAGCAACTTTTTATTAGTATATAGAAATTTAGAAAATTGTAAATTTCTTTGGCAAGAACTCCTAACACAGTAAATAACAGATCTCCAATGCAGACTAAATAGTACAGATTGAGATAGTCAATTAGCAAAAATTCAAATTAAGCAAGGTCTGTTGAAGGCAAATATTATTAATAGAAGCTGGGTATTTGAAGCTAACTCGACATTGATACTAATCTGGAATAATAATACAACATGCTCAATATTGCACAAGGCAAAAGATTTTAATATAAGTATTCGACCTGTTATTGATTAATGACATTTTTAAGGAACTGGCCCACAAATCAAAGAAGTCATAGATGCAACTCTCTTTGTAAAGTCATATAGGAATTTAGAAGATCTAGGTATTATATTTCAAGATCAGCTATTAGACAAAAAGGTGAAAAGATTTCTAACATGGTAGTAGCTTAAAATAGCAAAAGGCAAAGCTAGAGTAAAGAAAAAAGCTAAGTGGTTCTCAGTCATAGAAAACATTTTATTAGAGAATTCTATAAGCAGAAAGGTCAAAGAAATATATCAAACTCCAGAGCCAAACAATCTTGCACTAGTAATACCAGTAGTGCCAATTTCATCAAACAACAGAAAATGAGAATAGATCTTAATAAACAAAGAAAATGAGGATTTAGAGACAAGAAAAATCATAAAAAAAGACAAAAGCAAAATCTTCACAGAATATTGGTTAACAAAAGAAAATAGCTTAACATCAAGTATGTTGAAGTAGAACAGGTTACCAATCAAAGCAACGTACTTACTGTAATTTCAAAGCCACTACAAAAGAACAATCAAAAGTGTATCTCTAGATACAAAGATATCTTGCCTAGCAAAAGCAGGAAGTGCAAGATGACAAAACTTGGTAGTGGAGAAAGGATTTTATGTGGGTTACAGAGCATGGAATCATTAGATAAACAGCTGATATTAGATCAGAATTTCAATATAGAGTTGGAAAATAATTTAAAAAGTAGTTTAGATTTTAATATTAGTAGCAACAGAAGTAATTTTTAGGTATATACAGATGGGTTATTAATTCGTAAGATGGATAGTTGTAGTATGAGTATTGGTTGGGTACAGGTAAACAAAAAACAAGAAATGTTATTATGGAAGAGCTCTGCAAAATTAGAGAATTGGCTGTCATCGACAAAGCTCAAACTCATCGCAATTTGGTTAACTCTTTTTACTATTCCAACAAGCAGTAATATTTAGATCTTTTCAGACAGTACAGTAGCAATTGCCAGTATAGAAAAAATCAAGAGTGAATAGAGGTTCAACAAAATCTTCAAAGAAAAGAACTGGGACATCTTACTCAAAATAGCAGATCTTATTAAAGCGAAAGAGATTAACTTAGAGCTCCAAAAGATTAAGAGTCATAGCAACAACAGATGGAATGATAAAGCAGATGCATTAGCAAAGAAAGCCATATTATTTCCACACCCAATGAACATTCACTTGGATCTGAAAACAAGAATTTCTTTTTAGCTATTTTGGGGTAATTATAAAATCAAAAAATCAACCAGACCCATACTTAAAAAGATCTTTGAAACCTGGAACAATACAAATTGGAGATTAACAGAATCAATTAAAGCTATAGAACCTGAAATGAATAATCCCAAATTAGATTGACATACATATTGAAAAAGGATAAAGAAATTAAAAGATATTAAATATAATATGCTGCAGAAAAGCAAAAAGCTCGCAACGCAGTTGAAATGCCTTTCGGGAAACTTACTAGTGCTTAGAACCCTAGAGACAAGAAGACTAGACATCTATACAAGCAGAAACTCAAGATCACTTGTCAGAATGTTCCTACTACAAGTCAATATAGCAATGTATCGAGAACACAGCAGTTGATCTAGTATGGTCCAAACTCATGAGCAAAGAAAAGTATCTTTGTTTAAAAAGGCTCCTTCATGAGATCTTAATCGGGGTTACAGAAGCTGATAAAATCAAGAAAAGAAAGCTCTGGATTAAAGGCTTATCCACTATGGACACTTTTGATAGAATTAAGAATCTCTTAAATTCAACAAAAACAACTGCAAATTCGATAAAACTTACTACGCATATGATCTAGAATAGTTTTTACAACTTTATATAGAAAGATAGATGCATTAAGGTCAATAAATAGAAAAAAGAGCAAAATATAAAAAAGAAAGACAAGAGAAAATCAATTGAAAAAGAAAGTGGTACATCGTCTAGCTCTAGAAAGAAAAAAGACAAAAATAGAGTTAAAGAAAAGAAATTATTAATAAAGGAGAAGGAGACAAGAAAAATGTAGAATGATGCTATTTTGAGTTGGATACAAAAGAGTGTAAACCCCTTTTGGACAAGCTCTTAAAGAGAGCTCATTTTCTAGCTTATCTGTAAGCTAATGCGACGGTTGCATCTAGATATCTGTATAGGCAACTGGGTGAAGTCAGGCTTTTAGTTAGTTTTAGAAATAAATGTATATAAATTGAATATACTAAAAACTAAAAGGTCAAGTTATAGCAAGACCTGTCAAAGAACAAAAAAAAAATTTTTAATCTTTCATATAATATAAAAATTTTAATATTTACTATGTTTTATTATAGAAAAAATCTTCATTCTGGTAATCAATGTCAGGAGAGTGTACCTTTACTATAACTGAAATTAAACTTCTAATAATAAACTCCCCAGGCCCAAGAGGTCTCCTTAAAGATAAAAAAAATAGCAGTAAATAATGTTTAACCAAATAGATCCCAACACCACTATATTTAATATATTAGATAGATAAAAAATAAATTTGTTAATTAATACTACTGTATACAGTATACTATATTCATATTATATAAGATTTTGATTACATGATTTAAAATATTAAACAAAAATTTAAATATTCTCATATAAACAATTTGGCAAAGAAATTCGGACTTACCAAGCTAACAACTCATAAAATGGCAGTCGCTAAGGTGTGTAATAGTTTATTAAAATCAAATATAGGCAGGGTCACTAATGATCATCAGATTTTTTATAGGTATCGATGCACACATATCAATCTTATTAAAACAAAAATTACATTTATTGAAATAAATAATTAACTAAATAGAATACTATTTTTTTTTAAATTGAACCTCAAGACTAGCTCTATACTGAAATAGAGCTATTTTTATAAAAAATATTTATAACACTAATAATTAGTGTTTTTGGTTTCTATTATTAGCATTTTTTACTTTTTTTAAAAAAAAGATTAAAAAAATAGCTCTATTACTGCTTTATTTCAGTGTAAAGCTGGTTTAGAGCTTTGATTTAAAAAAAAATAACATATTATTTAATTATTTATTTATTTCAAAAAATGTAATTTTATTTTAGTAAAATTTATAGCGATCATATTATTAGCATTTTTTACTATTTTTAAAAAAAAAGATTAAAAAAATAGCTCTATTTCAGTGTAAAGCTGGTTTAGAACTTCGATTTAAAAAAAAATAAGATATTATTTTATTATTTATTTATTTCAAAAAAATGTAATTTTATTTTAGTAAAATTTATAGTGCTCAATTTACAATTTCAATTATATTAGGTCATACAAACTTAATAAATTGGTTTCTATTACCCAGTCTGGTCAATGTTTAAATCCCAAAAGCAATTTTTGATACTATTGGGATTTTGTTTTTGGGATTTTGAACGTTGGGATTTTAACTATCGGTAAACTCAAAATTCCATTAGAAAATCCGCAAATAGTGATGATCATTATTAACCCTGCCTAAGTTTGATTTTAATAGGCCGTTACACACCCTAGCCCAGTGTTGTCACTCGGACAACTCGGACAATACTCGGACAGAGTTTGGCACTAAATAATACTAAATAGGGCAAGATTTTATTATCGTGACCCGCCTTCAATTATTAATTAAAGTTGTTCAGAATTGATTTTTGCACATATGAGTGTATTTTTAAGATTAGATTTGTAAGCCAGATGAGATTCGGACAGTCCGCCGGACAGTTCAAAAAGGCTCGGACATCCAAAATGTACAACACTGCCCTAGCCGGTCGCTTTGCATAATTGAACGTTAATTGAAACAACGTTTGACTAGCGATTGGATATTATTTATTTATAAACTTGTGGAATCAACATGAATGTACGTATATACGAGCAAACGTCGGGTGAATACTAATACTGTTTTTCTCGTTAAATCGAAGGTACAAGTCCGTTTAGGAAATTGATTTACGGCTTGTACATCAAATTTTTACACGTGATTTCAATTAAAAATTATGACGGCTTCGATATCGTGAAATGTTATCTTTCACTTATCGATAACAATGAAAAGAATAAAAATTTGGACTGTAATATTGTTGCTTTTTTATGTGGTATCTGTCCTAGCTGATGAACATTCACATACGGTAATTCAATATGGCAAATACCGTGTTCGACTGCTTATATGCATTATTTACCATGTTTACATATTTTATCGCGATCCTTGTTTTATAGTACGAATCTGAAGATGATGTGATAATATGGGTGAATACAGTGGGACCTAAATCGAATCGGCAAGAAACCTATGAATATTTTCAGCTTCCGTACTGTCAGGGGGACCATGTTTCCGGTACTTGTACATTGTTAATTTATTAATAAAAAAGGTGGACTTGTGATTCAGTAAGGATGTCTGCAAAAAAAAAATAAGGTTGTCAAATCTAATTATAGCTGATGTATATACAATAACTTTTAGAACATCATCATGAAACATTAGGAGAGGCATTGTTAGGTGCGTATATGTTCATTGACTTAGAAGAATTTCATAATAAAACAACAGACCATGATCCAAATTATATGATACATTAGGCATGGAATTGGTGAATTCTGGAATTGGCATGAGATTTTTGGGTAAGTTTTTTCCATTTATTAATTAATATATATAATTAGCATGGAGGTGTGATGTCTATTTCTTATTGGTTCGCATTGTGTGCTGTCATCTTATACATATTTAAGGCAAAATTGACGATAGTAAATTAAATGTTCGTAGGAGAGAAATATTACCGGAATTATTAAATTACATCTACCAAGTTAGATAGTGCGTGTCAATTTTTATATTTTAAAAAAAATTAAGAAAAAATTGAGTAGAAATAATTTTTTGGCACATTTAGTTTGATTAATAAACATATTGTGGTTATATTACATGAAAAGTATTCTGAATCTTTTTTTATTTTTAGTAAACGAGGAAAATGTCACAATTTGTGATAAAGGATTAACGGCAAAGGATGTCAATCTTTTCCGTTATGCTGTTTCCAATAATTACTGGTATCAGTTATTTTTAGGTAAATAAACTCTTGTGTCACGAAAACTGTTGTGTATAAATCAAAATGCTTCGGATATCAATCAACTCTTTTTGTTTTGGTTCCGGAATTTAGATGAATTGCCAGTTTGGGGTAAAATTTCTATTTATCACTTTAAATTTTTAAGTAGACAATAATAAAATTTCTGATTAGATAGCTGCGTTCTGTTCATCAATAGGATTTGTCGGAGAGTTTGATGCAAACACCGGTGATGCTTACTTATATACTCATAGGGATTTTGTAATAAGCTATAATCATGATAAGGTACTGCAATACACGATATTGTATGTATATTAGTAGAACACAGTATTGAAATTGGTTTCGCTTTTAGATCATCCAAGTCAAACTCGAAAGCGGAAATCCAGTCAAATTGTATTGGGAAACTCGAGATATACCAGTACGATTTTCATATTCGGTAAGATGGGAACCTACTGAGGATTCATTTGACTCAAGATTTGATAAATTACTAGATACAGAATTTTTTGAACATAAGGTAATTATTTCATTGTTAATATTCTGGGAGAATTTTGTGTTAACTCGATATATTTTATATAGATTCATTGGTTTTCAATTTTCAATTCATTTATCATGGTTATGCTTTTGGCCGGCTTTGTTAGCGTCATATTATTGCGTATGCTAAAAAAGGATTACGCTAGGTATGACAAGGAGGAGGCTCTTGGTGATTTGGTATGATTTATTTTCTTTGATTTCTAAAATCAATCACGGATCTACTATTAAATACTTATTTATTTTATTGATTTATTTCAAGGATCATGACCTTGGTGATGAATATGGTTGGAAACAAGTTCATGGCGACGTTTTTCGTGCACCTCGTTCATTACTATTATTTTCATCTCTAGTCGGTACTGGACACCAGTTGATGTGGCTAACTTTGGTTATGATTCTGTATATAATAATTGGAGATTTATACGCAGAGTGAATATTTGCTTCAATTTGAAATTAAGCAATTAACCCAATTTTTATAACTGTTAAATTTATTATTTCTTTGTATTAGGCGTGCCACTATACTGACGGCATCAATATTCTTTTATATCTTGACGTCTGCCATTGCAGGATATTCCAGTGCGAACACATATCAGATTTATGGAGGTATTGGTCTGAATATTTCTCGAAGTGGGGTTTTTTTTTTGTTTTTCTGTTTTTTTTTTTTTTTTTACAATGATGTCAACGATCTACTCGTTATACCTTTTAAAGGTCGTAATTGGATAAAAAATATTCTTGTGACTGCTACTTTGTGGCCAGGAATAATCAGTATTATGACGGCTATGATCAATTTTGTTGCCGTATATTACTCTAGTTCGCGGGCAATTCCGTTTACAGCCATGGTATGTTCATCTATTAAGCGTTATTACAAATTTAGCTTTATTAAAAATGCAATCTAAACTATTCAAACGATTTTCTGCAGTTAGTGATTTCTGCAATTTGGTTGTTCCTTGCATTTCCATTGACATTTCTGGGGGCGATCCTTTGTCGCAATTGGGCAAGTCAGCCAAATTTTCCTTGTCGCGTTAATCCTATTCCGCGACCTATTCCTGAGAAAATTTGGTAATGCTGTTAAAAATTCTGATTTATTATTGTTACCTACATCTGTTTCGTATGTTTAATTTTAATCCGTATAAAACTTAGGTACGCTGAACCCCTTGTGATAGTCGCTCTTGGCGGTGTCCTCCCGTTCGCGTCCATATTCATAGAGATTTATTTTATTTTCTCATCATTTTGGGCATATAAAATCTACTATGTATATGGATTCATGTTATTTGTTTTCATTATTCTCTTGATCGTTACTTCTTGTGTCACTATAGTCAGTACGTATACATTGCTTAATAATGAAGATCATCGATGGTTTGTGTTAAATCCTGTTAATTGCTTATGTCATTAAAAAACGGTTATTAGCCATTAATATATCCATTTTCTAAAATATGATAGGCATTGGATGAGCTTCTTAACTTGTGGTTCAACCGCTGTATATGTCTATCTTTACGCTGTATATTATTTCATTAATCGAACGAAGTAAGAATTTTTTCTGAAAAAAATATGTGCAAAATTGCAATAAAAACGTGTGTTCTAATCTCTCTTTTTTGATTTTTTAGAATGTATGGTCTTTTCCAAACTTCTTTTTACTTCGGGAATACTGCGATAATTTGTGCTGGTTTGTTTATAATGTTAGGTAGGTAGATTTAATTTTACGCCTTTATTAATACTATTGCTTTTATACTCAATAATATATTTTTTAAGGCTCTGTTGGATATTTTGCCGCGGACAAATTTGTTCGAATGATTTACAAAAATGTTAAATTAGACTAATTTCTTATACTAGGATATGATAATGTTGGCTGCATTATTTTTATATACAGTATTTAGAAATTGCAGGATTCCTTTGACCGACATTTGTCATGTATGTAGATTTGATTGAACCGGTTAATTTAAAGGTTCTAAAGGGATCTATTCATTCCTAATAGTTGATTATTTGTTAACTATATAGTGCCATGTGTACTACAAGCCGAAAAGGCAAGATTTTCATTGGTTAAGGATACTTAAAATCACATATAAACATTTCGACATAATCTTTGAAACTCAGAAAATCCATCAAACTCTGCTCAACGTAAATTTTGAGCTTAACTCATTTTAATATTAATAAATTATCTAACGATCACAAAAAAAATAAAAAATAAAAATAAATAAAATTCAAAAAAAAATGGGCGAAGTAGACGAAGTGTTAGACGAAATTCTCGAACTCTTTGGAGACGAAGAGAACGAAAGGTTGAACAGCCTACAACCTGAGCCGTCTAGTAGTAATGAATACGCGCAAGAAAAACGATCATCTAGGACCTCCAACCAGAAACGAAAGTAAGCAACCATTAGTGCAATAATATATAATCTCCTAGGTTACCGTTTATATTATATACATATAATACTATAGATAAATATATATATATATATAAGTCATATATATGTAATATTAAACGTATGGGTATGTTAGTCATATGGCATATCAAAAATTCGGCTATACAGTGTTGCGTAAACTTATAAATACAGTTCAAGAAAACGCCACTTAGAAATCAACTTTCAAACCGTTTTCTTCTTTCCACCTCAAAACGTTAGTAAAAATGCCACAACAACGGAATATTGGGTGAGAGATTAAGAAATTTAAGAAAGATTGTTTTGAATCGAGAAAAATAGTTTCTACGGTTATTTTTATTATACTCAACCAGTTGGTTTTAAAAACACCTTTTTCAACGTAATTCTTTCTTTTCTCTTCCTACTATTTCTTTATATATTTTTGAAGAAGGTCTACTACATCACCTCGTCGCGGAGGATACTCGGAAGAAGATGGTGAGAGTAACGAAAGACGAAGAGATACAGACGAGTTTGATTCTGAATTGTACCATGATGAGGATGATCGAGATAGGTACATGAATGCATCCATCCGTTCAGTAAAAAAAATGTTTAAACTTAACCATTAATTATATTTCCTTTATGAAGATTAGAGAACCTTGTTGAGCTCGATCGTGAAAGAATATTGGCTGAAAGAGCTGAAAAAGTAGGCATCAGTGGTTTATTACATTAGAACATCCATAGTTTTAGGTTGACTTTCATCATTTTTGACTTCAGATACAACATCATAAAGATTTAGAAGCAGTACAGTTAATGATAAATAGTGAAGATGGTGGTACAACAAGAAGTATATATATATTTTTTATCATAATCAAAGGACAGAATAGAACAAATTTTAAAATTTATTTATAAAATATCAATATTCTTTTCGAAAATATTTTAAGGATCTTCTAGAACAAAGGATTCAAGAAAGAGAGGAGATTTCGAAGAACTTAGACGTCGACGAGCACAAAAAAATCAAAGTCAGCGAACAAGAGCTGTGAGTATCAACACTAATATCCTGTTGTTGATTTTCAATATAAAAATTTCTAAATTTCTTGTAACTAAGGGATCACAGAGTCCAGAACCTGGTGAACATATTACAACCGGTGACGAAGATGACATGTTCTATGAAGAGAATGAAAGTTGGGAACGTAATAAGGATGATGATTCTGAAGTGAGTAATATATAAATATATTTATTTATTTACTTATTTATTTTTTTTTAATAATTCTTTTTTTACATTTATTTTTAGGATATCACACTTGATGATATCAGGGATATACAATTGACCAGACATCAATTTAGTGATTGGGTTTATAAGCCTTTCTTTGAGAAAATTGTAGTTGGTTGTTTTGTTCGTTTGCATATTGGATTACAAAATGGTAAACAAATCTATCGTGTTTGCGAGATTGTAGGCATGTTTCTATCTCTTATTTCACTCTATTTGTTGTTTTGTTTGGTTTATTTTATGTATTTTTTTTTTATTCATAAAAAATATTACTTGCGATTAACATCATAGGTGTTGAAGTACCAGAAAGGGTACAACCATATCTGATAGATGCGAACGATAAAGTAAAGACAAATAAAGTATTACGTCTTAAACATGCCGATGCTGTAAAAAGTTGGCAAATGAATATTATTTCAAACGGAAAGTTTGAACAGGTTAATATTATTTTATTAAAAAGGTTCTTTTTATATTTTTATACTACAAATGCTTTATTTATATATTTATCCTTTATTAGTCTGAGTTTGATCGTTGGACAGTAACTATGAAAATTAAAAAGTTTGACTTGCCAACGAAAGAAGCAATAATGAGAAAGAAAGATCAAATTAAGTCTGCTGATGAATATATTCTTTCCGAGGTAAAATTTACGATAGGTCGTGTGTACATAAATATAAGCATTAAACATTTTATTTAAAATATTTCTTAATTACTGAATAATAGCAAGATGTTGATATAATGATAAAACAGAAGCAAACCCTTCGTGGAGGAGTTGAACCTATAAATTTACTAACCGAAAAAACTACCTTGGTAACTCAAAAGAACTTAGCAATTGCTCAAGGGAATACCAGAGAAGCACAAAACTATGGTTTACGCCTTGCAGAGATAGATAAGATACTTTCTGAAACATCTCGTTCTCAAAAACAAGACACATGGGCTCGTGTTAATGAACGAAATCGATTAAAAAATTTGGAAGATTCACGTAGAGCAGAAGAGGAAGCCAGAAAAAGTAGAAAAGGTAGTTCGTTGTGTAATATCACGGATAAACATACATACATATTTTTAATATATTTACTTATAATTATTCATTTTCAATGGCAAAAGAATTTATTCCTAGAAAATCCATAAAAACTTCTATAACAGATTCACCAACTTCAAAATCGAATGGAGTTAGAGCTGAACAATTTGAGAAAGCAAAAAAATCGTCATTGACACCTTATGAGGCTTTAATTAATGAAGTCCAATGTAACCTTTCTCTTCCTTCAGATTCGCTTAATAGTACGCAAAATCAATCCGAAGTAGATTATGAACAGAGATATTCAAGTTTCACCGTTGAACAATCATTGGAATTGATTCGTAAAATTGTTAAACAATCATCTCAAGCACAACAACAATCTGACGTCCCACAGCAGCAACAGCCACAATTGCCACCACGCGAAGAATCAAAGAATATACAACATTATGCAACTCAACCGCCGCATTCGTCATGGAATTCAGATGGTGCAATTCCGTCATTAAAAGATTTGCACTATGAAATTTGAGATTACTACATACCATGATATATACAGTAGTAAATAGTAATTTGTTAAATTTGTACATACCTATAAGTTTCATTGATAATTGATTAAAGGAAGAAAACTTTATTAGAAATGACCAAATATATATTAAATATTGTACATGGTGCCTAAGTTAATTCTTATTAGTATATGATCGTTGTTAACATGGACAGAACTTCAGGTATCTGGACTTTATAATCGCGGTCCGTTAGCAATAGCCATTATTTTTTTAAAGCCTAATAACATGCAAAGAAGTGGTGGTTATAACCGTTTAAACATTTGTAAATTTTTATTGCAAAAGCTAATTAGAATATTAAAATTTAGGTTGTACTGTATTGTTCGATACAAGCTTAATTTTAGGATGACGTAACAAAATATAGCCAGTTATTCCCTTTTCAATTAATGTTTTTCTTAGCTGATTTTAGCTAAGGTTTATTTAAGGGATTATACCACTTCCCAACACTTCTAATGAGCCATAACCTATTTTGTTAAGGATCTTATAAATATTCATACTAAGTGATTACATTGCTTACCTATCAACACAAAGTTTTTATTTTAAATGCAATGAAATCAAATCCATTCAACCCAATCTGTTTCAAATTAAGAAAACTACTAATTTTAATTATTTGTTTTAACTAGTTGACATCTTTATGTGATGCGCTGGTTCTATTTTAAATTTGCTTTATAGTTTTACTAACTTTACAGAAACTTAAAACTAGCAAATAACACGGTTAAAATATTTTTTCAGATAATGGGTTTATAATGGGTTTATACTGTAACTATATATCATACCGTATATACTGTAGTAATTATTACATTACATATATATACGTAATAATATTTTTTAAAAAACATAACATGATTACTAGTTAAATAACTAGTTATTAACTATATAGTGATTATATAGGCTAGGTGCTGGAAAAAGGGACCAATTGACAATTTTTTCAAAAGATATTTTTTTACATAAATTGATTTAGAATAAGATTAGGATCATTTCTTATTTAAAACACAAAAGTAGTTGTATTAATAAAATTTTGCTATATTGCTCTTTAAAGTTTGCATTTTTTTATAATTTATTATAAGATTTATAATATAAAAATTGATTTTCCAAAGATCTTTTGCTTTGTCTAGTTGGTCTATATATTATAATCAGGGTTGGTCAAATTACTGGTTGGCCAAAAATTCATTGGTCAAACTGGTCAGGTCAAATAGTTAGGTCAAATTGGTCAAATGGCCTAGTCTATTAAATAAATAAATTTAGTATACAAAATAAATATATATTGTCTTATCGGATTTGGAAAAATCACATGACAAGCTAATTGATAATCCACCAATCAAATTACAGAACCAGTACTAATAATTATTATAAAATTTGTCAAATTTTCTCAAACTTTGACAGAAGATTTCTTGATAACTACTCATTAAAATCAGCTCAAATTTTCACTGTAGATAATATATATATTCATTTATAACAAACTAAAAGTTTAGCTAATTTAGATTGATAGTTCTTGAGAAATCACTTGTATACAATTGTTAATTTTTTAAAAAAAATTGTATATTGTATACAAGCGGTTTTTCAAGAACTATTAATCCAAATTAGTTGAAATTTTTGTATATTATAAATGAATAAGTATATTATCTATAATAAAAATTTGAGCTGATTTGAATTAGTAATTACTGAGAAACCATCCGTCAAAGTTTGAGAAAATTTGACAAATTTTATAAAAATTGACCTCATTAAATTTATAATTTTGATTGGTCATCAATCATATGATAAATCGGGAACTTATGCATTTGGGCTATTGAATATCAAAAATGGTAGGCTATTGGGTATGGATTAAGAAACAGGCCTGGTGAATCGACTTTTAATCAATTATAGCAGGTTATCGGTTTTAACAAGATCAGTTTTGGGAGGGCTAACAGTATACTATATATAAAAATATATATGCATATGTAAATTATATACTGTTAGATTTACCTTATGGATAGACTAGACTTAATATAGGGTTTAATAAGTCCTAAGGTGGGTGTAAAATCTATAGGTATTGCAAAATCTATTTTTGAATAGTGAGTAGTGTTTCGCAAAAGATCCAGGTCCGCCCGGGTCTGGTCCCGTCTGTTGACAGACCAAGTTCGGACCCTTAATTTATCAGAATCAATATGGATTCGAACCCACATGAAGATCTGCCCAAGTTATACCCGATTCAGTCTATTAGAATAATACTGATTGCTGATTGAAAAATTTTGGAATTTTCTTTTGGTAAATCAAAAAAAAAAATCATTGCATCTATGATCTATATTTTACATATGCTTTATTCTCACAACTGGAATAGTTGTAGGAGCTGGCTGATGTTGAAGCTGTTGTTGGTGCCATAGTTTGAATCATAATTGGTCTCTTCTTTATAGTTTTGGTAATATTAAATATCTGTTTTCCCTGCTGATTAGCTAACATCTCAATATTCATTTTCATGTCAATATAACCAAAGAACAGCAAGAAAAGGTTACAAAACAAAGGTTAAATATTTACTTACCTTATGTTCAAATCAGTTCGCTTACAACAATTTATATTCTATATAGTATTAATTTATTTAGGCTAGGTAAAGTTAAATTAAAATTTTTTTACTTTGATAATTCTTCATGCATTCTCAACAAATATTAATAATATTTTGGTCATTTGGAAACCTAATCCGAGATTCATTTTTAAACCAGTCGACAAATTCATAATCATATCAACTTTTTAAAAGTGGCACCTGTTCATGTATTATATTTGTTATAAAAGTCTAATTTATATCTGGTTCCTTTTTTAAATTACTTACTAAAGTTTATTGGTTGATACTAGTAGTCTTTTCTATATATTTTCATGCAAACTAAACACCAAGCATGTTGGACAAGCATTGGAACGAAAATTTAATAACATGGACATTATTGTTATAATTGGTCATAATAGCTTTTATTATTTTTATTATATAATGGATTAT